CATGTCGTAAGTGATGTATTCATAAAGTAGTTCATGTATCAGTCCATTGGTTTCTTCAGTTCTGAATAATATTAGACTTTGTCTTTCAGACGTGTGGAGGTCCGTTTGGGCGAGCACAACATCGTAGTAAATGAGGGATCTGAGCAGTTCATCTCATCTGAGAAGGTCATCCCCCACCCCGACTTTGACTCCTGGATCCTTGACAGTGACATCATGCTGATCAAGCTTAGCAAGCCCGCTACCCTCAATCAGTACGTGCAGACTGTGGCCCTGCCCAATGGCTGTGCCGCCGATGGCACTATGTGCAGTGTTACTGGCTGGGGAAACACCATGAGTTCCAGTGAGTGTCAGGATTCTTGATGTCACTTCCTTCACACTTCATGTTCATAGCACTTCAGTTCACTCCATCTCTGTTGCTCTTGCTTTCAATTCTTTGTAGCTGCTGATCCCAACAAGCTTCAGTGTCTGGAGATCCCCATCCTGTCCGACAGCGACTGTAACAACTCCTACCCTGGTATGATCACCGATACCATGTTCTGTGCTGGATACCTGGAGGGAGGAAAGGACTCTTGCCAGGTAGAGGATGACAAGATGTACCGTTGTTGCACAAATATCAATAGTATCTGAATAATAACCAGTTGTTATGTTTGTCTTCTTCAGGGTGACTCTGGTGGCCCTGTGGTGTGCAATGGTGAGCTGCAGGGTATTGTGTCCTGGGGTTATGGCTGTGCTGAGAAGGATCATCCTGGTGTCTATGGCAAGGTAATATAGCTGTTGTTGTTTAATAATTGTTGCAAAGCAATATGTTTAGTTTAATATGAAGCACTTATATGATTTTTATGAATTCTCTTTTCTTCAAGGTCTGCATGTTCAGCCAATGGATCGCCGACACCATGAGTAACAACTAAAGCTGATACAAAATCACATACAGCCTCCAAATCTGCAATCCATCAGTTTTTCTTTGTTCTGGAGATTAAAAACCTGTGAAAATAAAAGCATTTAAAATACTCTGCTTTCTCCAAGTGCTTCATTTATATTGTTTTAACAAACACTGTACTTTAATGGGCCTACGTTTAAATGAATCATGCTTGTAGCAAAACTTATTACAAAAGTAACACACAACAAAGTGCCTATATTATGTTAGCAATTCAGCAGAAGGCTAAATATACAAGTTGATTCTAATATTTTTAATAATAAATATAATTAATTCAAAATAAATGTATTAATAAATGCAATAAATATAAATCATGTAGATACCGTTATTTCAACAAATAGACTGGAAAAATAATTTCTAGGAATTTCAGAGAAAGTAATGTTCAAGACAAGCAAGATGATGATTGTTAGCACTGACATAAATTGTCGATTGTCTTCATAAAACAGCTTCAACATGTTTCTGTAACAACTGTATCAAAACTATTCATTAAATTATTTATGAGGTTTAATCTGAATAACAGCTAAAGAAAGAGATGCTGTCTTGAGATTTAACATGTTGTTTACAAATGCAATATAGTCTATAGTCTGATGATATGTTGTGTGACTAAAATTATTAGTAGCCTAACGTTACACATAATAAGGCTTCATATAGGCTAATAACACACACTCACATTAGACTCTATGATTTACTGAGACCTTTGTCCACTTCCAGTTCCAGTCTACTTGCAGTATTGTATCCAACTTGATTATAGCCTAACTCATGGCTACAGTGTCCCAGTAGTGCACAACACAACGGAAACAAGCTACAACACAATGCATAGGACTAATTTTGCTGTGTTGTGCTAATTTTGTTGTGTTGCGGCTTGTTTCCATTATTGAGCTAATTTCATTGTGTTGTGGCTTGTTTCCATTGTGGTGTGCTAATTTCATTGTTTGCGGCTTGTTTCCAGTGTGTTGTGATAATTTTGTTGTGTTGCGGCTGGTTTCAGTTGTGTTGTGCAGCAGTACTGGGTCACCGCTATGGCACATACAACAGCAGGCTAAACATTTTCTGAATAAATGACAATAAAATGTAATTATTCCGGATGTACTTAAAATATGATTAATAAAACTACTTTTAGGAGGTCAAACAAACATCAGCATGACCATGTAACCGCTTTTGACATTACTTGTAATCGGAACCTTACTCAAGTCTTGTTTTTCATTCCGGACTCCTGAGACCGACGCACCATCACACATGCACTTCTGTGCTTCAGCTGTCACCTGAACGTATAGCCTGATACTCTGGATGAAATAAATGCTTCTGTTGTTCTCCAGTGTTTGTAATCGCTGATCACAGAAGTGCTCGACTGAGTTTTATTCATCCCCCCAGTATCTTTAACGTTGTGTAAGAGAGGGGTTTTATTTTCTGGAGGAGTGTCCTTCACCGCTTCTCGTAATGCGGCTCACTCTGCGGGCGTTGATTTCTCATGGCCGGGTGGCCCGTAGGATAGGACTCGGACCTGAGTCCAGAATCAACATACTTCGGAACATACTCACAGGTCTGGTTCGACACGAGAGAATAGAGACAACAAGAGCCAGAGCCGACGAGGTTCGCTTCTACGCGGAAAAGGCAAGTAACGTACAAAACCCCGCTTCCAGTTTAAGTTTCAGTATAATTCTGATACCTAAACTGTTACTCTGCTGCTCAGTCTGCCATGACATGTGCTACATTTCTTTTCCATTAGAATTCATTATGATTGTATGTAAATATTCTTGGGATTTAAGACAGAACTATATAATATTGATAGGAAATATTTTTTGAAATATTGAGGTTACGTTAAAATTGGCTAAAATGGTAGAAATCGGGTAAATGTGACATTTTAAAATTTTAGGAAAAGCAGTTAGAAATGCAGTTATAAGTTAAGTTTAAACCCTAATGTACTCTTTAAAACTAGAATGCTTGTCTTGTTTATGTTTTGACTTTCTGTTTTATTTTTAGTTGATTGATTATGCTAAAAAGGGAGATACTAATGAAAAGTCAATGAAAATGGCTGATTTCTGGCTCACGGTAAGATATAAATCCTTGTTCACTCTAGAATTTTATGTGTGTGTGTGTATGTGTGTGTGTGTGTGTAAAACTGTTACTCTGCTGCTCAGTCTGCCATGACATGTGCTACATTTCTTTTCCATTAGAATTCATTATGATTGTATGTAAATATTCTTGGGATTTAAGACAGAACTATATAATATTGATAGGAAATATTTTTTGAAATATTGAGGTTACGTTAAAATTGGCTAAAATGGTAGAAATCGGGTAAATGTGACATTTTAAAATTTTAGGAAAAGCAGTTAGAAATGCAGTTATAAGTTAAGTTTAAACCCTAATGTACTCTTTAAAACTAGAATGCTTGTCTTGTTTATGTTTTGACTTTCTGTTTTATTTTTAGTTGATTGATTATGCTAAAAAGGGAGATACTAATGAAAAGTCAATGAAAATGGCTGATTTCTGGCTCACGGTAAGATATAAATCCTTGTTCACTCTAGAATTTTATGTGTGTGTGTGTATGTGTGTGTGTGTGTGTATATATATATATATATATGTATGTATATATGTATGTGTGTGTATATGTCTCATTTATAACATTGACATTTTATATTTCTCCATTCAGGAAAAAGATTTGATCCCCAAACTTTTTAAAGTTCTGGCGGTAAGATTTGAGAATCAGAGGGATGGATGTACACGCATGGCCCGCATTCCTAACCGGGAGAATCTGGACCGCGCGTCTATGGCTGTACTGGAGTATAAAGGCAACCCTTTCCCGCCGCTGTTCCCCATGAAACGTGTCAGTGAACTGAACTTGTTAAACCAACTTCTGAAAGCATACAGAGAAGAAAAAGCTCAAATGGTGTCTGAGAAAAAGGACTTGTGACCTTTAAACACTGTATTACTACATTATATTTCATGTAATAAACCAGTATACATTTCATTAACATCTCATTAAAATTTGCTCTCAGTGTTGTGTATGGTTGGTTGATGCTTAACATATCCATGACTTTTTAATTCATATATTCAACATTTGTATGACTGAATGAGATGTCCTGTAACTGGTCACAAACATTCTTTTTATTTACTGTTTTGTCTTCACTACATTTCAAATGGTCCTAAAGAATGGTAAGTGAATTTCTGAAAATACAAATATTCCATATCACATATAATGAGGTTGTTATATATCATTCTGGACACATTACAAAAGATTTTAAAATAATTGTGTATAGTATGTTACACAGCAGAACATTAGAACAGAATGTAAAACTACATCGTTTTTAAATGACAATGATTTGTTCAGCAGTTGGTTGTACTTCAGAGTTCTAGGATTACAATTACTGTAGCTACCTTAATTGCTTATCAAACTGCAAAATGAAACACAAGCAAGCCATTGTTGTAAAACAGACCATTTTAATTTGGCAAAAGGGTATGCACTGCCAAGTCATTTGACACTATTATAATGCATTCAGTATGAACAGTGCAACAGAAATGTGCTTAACTGAATCTTTCTGTGCTCCCCAATGTGATGTGCTAATATATCTATCATACATTCAAAAAGTGTGCTCTCTCGTCTCTGCTAGGTGTGCACACTCACTGAAAAATCATGTCAAAGCCTTTTAAAATCACCTTTTCTGATGACTTCCAGACAGAACAAGTTCAGTGTTTATTAAAGAAATGGCTTAAGGCCCAAGCACATCCATTAATACAAAAAATCAAACCACGGGAACCTAGATTTAATGATTCTTCAAGTATGGTTCTTCTCTTAAAAAAATTAAATATAAATGTGTCATTATTATGTACATAACTAATAGGATTATATGTAAAGCAGGTCAATTTCAGATGGAGATTATATAGGATATGTTGATATATAACATAAATACGACCCACAACTGGTTATTTGTTAAATAAAAAAATAACAACAGCAGTGATAAAGGACATTTTACCTCTACATTTGTCTTTCACTGTATTGCATTATGGTTGCATTTTCACGGGTCTCTGATGGTAATGAAATAAGTGTTTCAAAACAGTAAAGTGCTCCATGCTGTCAATACAAAGTGTTTCTGTAGGAGTAGAGCTATATTTTCATTAGACACAAACAAACCTTAAGATAACCCCAGCGGACTGAATTAATTTACTTTCTACTCACTGACAGAATAAATGATCTCCATATCCGCCGAAGACCGCTGTGAGGGTTATTAAATGTACAAATGCGTAACGAAGTTTGCAGAAATTGAATCTGAACTCAGAACTGTTCAAATAGTTTTTGAACTCTACACACCCCTGCACAGAACTGACAATATAGAAAGACTGAGATGAATTAGTCACCATTCATCATCTGCTTGCGATAAATATTCTAAAAATAAAAATAAGTGTGTACTGCATACAAAATTAAGACCACTAGTTGTGAAAACTAGGCACACCCAAAATTACATTGAATATATCAGAATGTAGACAAAGCACAAACATGCATGGTTTACAAATACTGCCTAGTTGTTCCACAGTTAACTTGCCATTGCAGTTTAATATCAGTTTGCAAAGTCTCTAGCTGTATTCGCTTTTATTCAATGTGAATAAAAATATATAAACGCTAAATTATCTCAACTTTACAGACAAAATGTGTACATAAATTCTCAAAACGTTAAAAAATTTAGCAAGGGAAATGAATACTTGGTTCTGTTGCATCCAAATGGCATGGAAATACAAATATTAGCGGCACCACTTGAAACTAATGAAGCATAAAAACTGTCAAGAGCTCACTGTACTGTTACTGTACACACTGCTATCCTACTGTCACATTAAGCCTGAAATATCTATACTCTAGATTGACCATTGTCTCCTGTCACTATTGCACTGCCTGTATATTATCTCTCTCCAGTGACTCTCTGTCATCTCACTGAAATATTTATTGCTTCTTATTTTTTAGGGGCTGTGTGAGCAGGTTATGCCCCACTCTCTCTTGACGTTCTACGGCTTGCGTTTCTCTTTACAAATTCAAAGATATGGATGTTTGGTAACTTTTTTGAAAGTGGCTTTGCTTTTTCACGCTTGCCTTAACCTAATCTATTGAAATATTGAACTCTTTTCCACCTCATAGATGTTTGAAAGTAGTTTCCGCATGGCCTGTTCCTCTATGGCCCACTCTAAGCATTGGAGCCCATCCCCGCGGCCCCTTGCATACTAAAATACTCGGTGAAGTGGGACGTTAATCTAGGAGGAGGGGGAGAGTGTGCGGAGCTGCGTGGTGGTATGGGAGGAGGAAGAGGGGAGAATGTAGACGACAGATCCGCTGTTGTGGTGATGATCTTGTGTTTGCTGTTCCTTGGCACTTCCTGTCCCTTCCGAGCCACTGTCTCGTCTATCGTCTTCACAGGGTCCTCAATAGGGAAACATAACATGGATTATATGAAATAACACTATATGAAAGTACACTCTTAAATGAACTGTTCACCCAAAAATGAACATTTGCTGAAAATGTACTCACCCTCAGGTCATCCGGTTTGTTTCTTCATCGTAACTGATTTGGAGAAATGTAGCATTACATCACTTGCTCACCAATGAATCCTCTGCAGTGAATGGGTGCCATCAAAATAAGACTCTAAACAGCTGATAAAATCACCACAAACTCCAGTCCAACAAGCACACAGAACAGTTGCGTGTTTGTAGTAAATCCATTATTAAAACATTTTAAATTTAAACCATTGCCTCTGGCCAAAAAAAAGTTAAAAAAGACCATCCCGTTATCCTTTCACATCACATGTTTAGTTTTGGACAGTTTTCACTTGTAAATGGTACTTGATCTGTGCATATTTCTCTCTTGATTCAGATGAGACAACCATGTTATTGATAGAGCATTTTGGACTTTAGCCAATTTTGGTATTTTAGTCAGAAGCAGTGGTTTGAAATTAAAAATGTCCTAAAGATTGGTTTGTTTATTGCAAAAATGCACCATTAATTGGTGGACTGGAGTTTACTGGATTACTTGTGGATTATTGTGGCGTTTTTATCAGCTTTGTGAACTCTCATTCTGACGGCACCCATTTACTGCAGAGGATCCAGTGGTGAGCAAGTGATGTAATGTACATTTTGAATTTGTACATTTCTCCAAATCCATTCCAATGAAGCAATAAACTCATCCAAATGTTCATTTGTGGGTGAACTATCCCTTAAAAATAAAGGTTCTTTATTGGCATCTACGTTTCATGAAGAACCTTTAACATCCGTGGAAACTTTACATTGCACAGGTTTTTTATAGTGGAAATAGTTTCTTTAGATTTGTTTTTAAATGTTCAACACAATCAGGAAAAATGGTTCTTTTAACCAAAAAAAATGGTTCTTTAATGCTAAAAACCTTTTGGAACCTTTATTCAAAAAGCTGTTCATCAAAATAAGTTCACTTACAGTGGTGTGAAAAAGTGTTGGCCCCCTTCCTGATTTCTTTTTTTTTTGCATGTTTGTCACACTTTAATGTTTCAGATCATCAAACAAATTTAAATATTAGTAAAAGATAACACAAGTGAACACAACATGCAGTTTTTAAATTAAGGTTTTTATTATTAAGGGAAAACAAAATCCAAAACTACATGGCCCTGTGTGAAAAAGTGTTTGCCCCCTAAACCTAATAACTGGTTGGGCCACCCTTAGCAGCAACAACTGCAATCAAGCGTTTGCGATAACTTGCAATGAGTCTGTTACAGCGCTGTGGAGGAATTTTGGTCCACTCATCTATGCAGAATTGTTGTAATTCAGCCACATTGGAGGGTTTTCGAGCATGAACCGCCTTTTTAAGGTCATGTCACAGCATCTCAATAGAATTCAGGTCAGGACTTTGACTAGGCCACTCCAAAGTCTTCATTTTGTTTTTCTTCAGCCATTTAGAGGTGGACTTGCTGGTATGTTTTGGATCCTGCTGCAGAACCCAAGTTCGCTTCAGCTTGAGGTCACGAATTCATTTAAAAACTGCATGTTGTGTTTACTTGTGTTATCTTTGACTAATATTTAAATTTGTTTGATGATCTGAAACATTAAAGTGTGACAAACATGCAAAAAAGTAAGAAATCAGGAAGGGGGCCAACACTTTTTCACACCACTGTATATTCAAATCGGTTTCCTTCCTATTACAACATCTAATACTCACTGAGTGGATGGAGAAGAGCTCTGTGAAGTTTGGCTGAGAGTCTCCCAGGAAGGAGCTATTCCCATAGGCATGATGAGGGAAGCTTTCTGCCCCCATGCCTTTAGGACTGGAGAGAAGGATTCCTATCTGTGACGTGCGCACGTGGTAAGGAAAGTTCTTATTGGCTGCTGACGGACGTGTGATGGCCTAGAATGACAGGATTAGTCATGCAGGGTGTTTCATCATATTATTAGCCTAAATAAATGAAGTAACAATAAACAACAGCAACAAAAAAAAATCATACCAGGAAGACGATATGAGCATAGAGATGGATGCCGAGTTGGATGCCGTTCACAATCTTTTCCCTGGCCCAGCGAGAGATGCCAAAGTTGGCAATCAGAGCCATGACTGGCACAGCAAAAAACCTATGGGTGAAAAAGTAATGGATGAAAAGAAGAACATAAGCTTTATACTGTCAATCTTCTTTACAGATTTACAAAGGCTGTGGAGAGCTTTGAGTCAAAGTAGAGACAAACAGTTTCAGTCTAGTCTCATAAAAAGACTTATGTGAAAAGTTAAGTTTAAAAATTGTTTTACTTTGAGTTCACATTTCCAATGATTCAAACCCATGCCATTGATATTAGGAGTGTCACCCTCAGACACCTTACGTGAGGTGTTGAACAAAAATTCTAACCTGGAAAAGTTCTTGCCAAAGCTAAATATTGTACTTTGAATACATTTGACTATTTTGTATGATGAAAACATATTGTACAGTAAGTGGTGTTTACAGCACTATTAAAGTAGCGTCACATCTTTTGTTTCCATATTGTGATGTATCCAAGTGAAACCGATTATCGAAAAAGAAAAAATGTAGGACAGGGAATCCATTTTATTCTTTGGTTGCTGTTTCGATTATAAGCGAGAGATGGGGTTTAAGTATAAGTCCGGCATACATCACAGAAAGATTGACTTGACAACATTTTGAATTAAAACAGTACCAAAAAATAAATGAATGAATAAACTTAAACATGCACAGATTAGTCAGTAAAATAAATAACACACATTTAGAATACATATATTTTTTATTTCATGCTGAATGAAATGGGAGTAAAAGTGCTTTTACCGCCAGTTGATGCATGTTTGTAACAATTTATGTTTCTTCTTGCACATTCATGTTTATTCATCAAATGAATTAAAGCAATGGAAAAATAAAATAATATAAGCTTCTGGTTTTGTATTACAGCAAAACTCACCACAGAGTGTACGCAGTGAAGAAGGGGATGTAGAAAGGTTGTTTTTCAGGGTAGTGTTTGAGGGACACCAGCACAGCGTAGCAGAACCATACGTAGGCAAGCAGCTGCAGACCCATTAGACCGTACCCTGCAGGGCTGTCATAAGCATACAGCACCTCGCCTGGATCAAAGAACTACAAACACACAGGCAATGGGAGTGGGAACAGAGAAATCCCCGCCCTTGGCAACCCATCTGTATGACTGATGGTTTTAAACCCGACCATGGCACAATCTGTTAGGCTGCATAAGTGGAAAATGGCGGAACATTCCTTAAATCCAAACATCTAAAGCTGCATTAGAGCAAGGGTGACATTGACACAAGATGCAACAGGAGCTCTTCAATGATACTGCAAGAGCTTATCTGGGTCTTTCTCTCTCTCTATCTATCTGTTTATCTGCCGGGTTCCATTACAGCACACTACAGCAGCACGACATGCTCAAGTAACTTCATCTCGCAGCCTTACATTATGTATAGAGTGGAGTAGCTCTCGGGTGCAGCATGAGAAACTGCAGCTGATAGTGCTCAAAGATGAGGAGTCCTCAGACTTTTTACGCATTAGGTAATTAATAGACATTTGAAGACATTTCTGGTATGTGGTTATCTATGGTATATTATTTGCCTGCATCCATCATTTCAGCTGAAGTAATTGTAGCAAATTATATTCAAAATATTTCTTAAAACTAAATTACAATATAACAGTTAAGACCTTTTTGTATAATTTATGTATAATACATTATAACGGGTTAAAAATTGGTACAATGCATTATAATTATTCATAATGTGAGTTGTAATATATAATATCTTGTCGTAAATAATTAGAACCGAATTTAAAATGCATAGTGTAACAATGAATTGATAAGTGTTATAATGTATTACCTGTTTACATTACATCTATTCATAAGATTGTACAATGCATTATAAGGTGCATTACAAGGCATAATTAATGCATTAAAACTACATTTATAATGCATTATACATAAAGGTTTACAGTACAGTAAAGTGTTACCTTTTATTTCAATAAATGAACAAAAGGATAAATTATATTGTGTTAATTAAATTTTCAGTGTATATTGCCTACAAAACCATCAGAAATACACAAAATTTAGGGTCTGTAAGATGTTTCTTGAATTTTTATGCTCATTTATTTAAACAAAAATAAAGTAAAACATTTTTTATTATTATAACTGTTTTCTATTTTAATTCATTTTAAAAAGTAATTTATTCCTGTGATGGCAAAGCTGAATTTTTAGCAGTTATTACTACAGTCACATGATCCCCTTCTGAAATCATTCTAATATGCTGATTTAATGCTCAAGAAACATTTCTTACTTTTACCAATGTTGAAAACAGTTGTGCTGCTTAATTTTTTTGTGAAAACTGTGATACTTTTTTTTCAGGATTCTTTGATAAATATAAAGTAAAAAGCAAAAAACAAAACAGCATTTATCTGAAATAAAAAACAGAAAAAGTATTTCTTTCAAAAGATTATTTAAAAAAGCATTTCTTTCAAAAAAAAAAAAAAAAACCTTATTGGCCTCAAACTCTTGAACAGTAGTGAATGTTATGAATATTCAGCTTATTGTCAGCCTAAAAGGAAAAGTTTAAGTCAATCAGATCTTACCTCTGCTTCATATATGAAGAGGATGATGTACGTGATGGTGTATACTGTCATATAAATGGATAGTTTCACAGAGCCACTGTGACTTATTCTTGCCCTGGAAATCAAAAAAGAGAGAAACATTATCGCTACGTCATCTTCTTTGAAAACATTGGTCAAAAGATATGTAGGATCACCTGCAAACCTAAAAAAAACATCAGCACTAAAAGTAAGTTCATTCTTGAATTCAGCACATACTCAAATTTGGATACAGATTTGTCTTGACATCTGGGTCACATCAGCATGATTAGCCTTGTAAGTCATTACCCACATTATGTGAGAAGTAAGGCCTCCTACCTGGTGACTGTGAATCCCTTGCCCAGGAGAATCAGCATGAGCAAGAAAATCAGGAAGCTCACAGAAAAGAGTAATTTCCCTGGTGAGAGGAAGAGAGCCGCAGAGAGTTACACAGGTGACCACAAGTAGGTTACGAATCAGGTCAGCATTTAAGAATGAATCCAGTCACAAGCACACTAATGTGTAATGCTAAAACCGAGTATGTTTAGATGCTGCATTGTAATACCGTTTAGCACAATATTATAATACAATATTTTTTGTTTCATCAAATATTTTTACAAAACCCTTTTCTTTAAAAAAGAGGAAGACGTGTACATTGAAATGAAATGTTAGGTAACTTGTCTATAGAAAAAGATTGGATTGGAGAATAAAAATAATATTACATGTCAATCATTTATTTGTATGCTAAGTAGCTAAGTAGTAGGATAAAATTCAAGATAATGTACAGTCAGCTGGTTATTACTAAAATAATATTTAAAAAAACCCTTCAGAATGATACAAGACCACCCAATCAGGGTTTATTTTCCGATAATGAGTATCTGACTCATTCATAAAGTGTTTTTCTTACCTAATATCTTGAGGCTGCCATTCCCAAAACCATCTCGGGCATAAAGGCCCCAGTAAATGCAAAAGAAAAGCAGGCTTAAGACTGAAAGAAAGGAATTAGAAAGTAAAGGATGCCAGAGATAAGAGAGAAGAGAGAGAGATAAGTCACAGTAGCAGCCATGAGAGCACAGAGGAAGAAGTTGAATGTGGGGAGGAGATAAGGATGAAAGAAAGAAGGGATGACAAGAGATATTGTTATGCATCCAGCGTCGCAAAGCCTAGTGTCATAAAAATGTGTGTGCTTGTGTTTATCTATATGAGTGTGTGCAGTGGCCTTTCTCACCCTCCACTCCAGCCGCAGTCATAAACATCTTATAGGTCGTATGGAGCAGCTGTCTTCCCTTTAAATTACCTTAAAGAATTACACAGAAGAAAAGGGATTGAGGAGAAATTAATAACTAATGCAGATAGACTAATAGTAACTGTAGGTCTGTTTATCTGGAGGAGATGGCTAAAAATATCTTTTAATTTAACACTGAATAATAAGACTTGCGAATTATGCACTGAGACCAACACATCTAAGGTCTTTTATACCTCCAGGACATGGAAACTCACAAGCAAAATAACAAGACAGTGTAAACACAGTGGCGAATATAACCAAGAACGTGATGTCTGTCTCCAGGATGCCTGAAACACATAAACAGAGCAAAACAAGAACAGTATTCAGTCATGATATAAGCATGATAAATGTCTTGAAAGAATTCTCATCATTTACTCTCTCATTCCAAACCAATGCTGTACAGCTTTCTAAGAATGTGAAATTTAGCAGAATGTTCACACTGTTCTTTTCCATATAGTATGACTTTAAATTACAGTAAATGGTTAGCAGGGGACAAAATATATAATTATTATTAGTATTATTATTTAATTCACATATTAAATAGAATAGTGAACATGGCAAAATTATTAGTAGAACAAAGACAAATCAATTTCTTTCTTTCTTTCCGTTTTGTTCACATTAAACATGGCACATAAAGACAATAACATGACAGATTTGCTGTCACAGATGACAAAAGTTATTGGTCTTGATCGTGATGTGCCAAAGTTGCATTCACATTTTACATATGAGATTTGAGAGCTGTGATGGAGAGGAATATTTTTTGTCAGCAATGAAGCTCTTATCTTTTTCTTACCCAAAGCTGTTGTATAACTTCAAAAGACTTGAGGTGCATCCCAATTTGCAAACTTATGCACTATTCTATGCCGTTTTGTAGTATAAATAGTGCGAGTAGTGTGTTTACACTGAAAATTCCAAAAAGAATAAGTGTATTTTTTAAATACCTGGATGATGCACTTAAATAAAAATAAAAAAAAGCATGGAATTCTGGACTCTCATGCACTCAACTGTCACAGCTTTAATTAGCGGAGGAGTTGGGGCTAGCAGACTCGGATTATAAATGACAAAACAACCTTATACAGTTCACACACTATATATAAGTATATAGTGTATAAGTGCATAATTTACAGTGTACAGTATTTGGTACACAGCTTTATAGATGAATATGGTGCAAAATTTGTATAGACTACTTGTAAGATGTTTCCGTTTTTTTGTCATTTTGGAGCTTGAAAACCCCGGGCCCTGGTCACCATTCACATTTTAGATGGTAAATTATACAGATTCGAAAAACATTGAGGGTGAGTATACGATTTTTATTGTATCATGATTTTCACAATAATATTAAGCAGTTTATTTAACAGTGATAATAATAAGAAATGTTTGAGCACCTAATCAGCATATTAGAAACTGCAATCAAAAGAATAAATTACATTTTAAAACATATTAAAGTTATTTTAAATTGCAATAATATTTCACAATATCACAGTTTTTACTGTATTTTATTTAAATAAACGTATCCTTGGTGAGCATAAAACACTTCTTTTAAAAACATTAAATTATTGTACTGACCCCACACTTTTGAAGGGTAGTATTATAATGGATACATTTTGCCATGCTTTCACATAATACAAAATAAATTCCTCCCACTTTCAGTCATGTCTCACCAAATTCATCTGCAGAGAAATGCTGGGTCCAGAAGGACTGTCCATTGGTTAATGTCATTTCATATTCCAGCTGCAGCCCATCTCCCTGTGTTGTATGGCGAAAGAGAAAAAGAGGGAATTCAGAGGAGAGAAACGCAGGAGGTGTAAAACAGAGAGAGAAAAAGTGAGTGGGGAGCTTCAGAGACCATACAAACACTGAGTGCACAAACAGATCTTTGGGCTATAAAAGACTTCAAAGCAGCACAGATTCTAGCTGTTGAGAGGATTTCGGCCCGGCTTAATAAAAGAGAAACACTTTGATTTCACTTGGCAGGAAAAACCCATTCCCTCTCCCGCACTCCAAAAAGGTGAGGTGCATGAAGCATGCCCTATCACCAAATCAATGTGGCCAGAGATGGAGAGGAAAGAGAGAGAGCGGGACAGAGATATAGAGCTGGAGAGGGACAGAGAAAAGGCCGTTAGATACAAACAGAATGAGCATGAAAGGCTGAAGTGAGTAATCAAGTGCCTGTAACAGAAGTTAGGAGATACAGAGGTATACGACTGGCCAATGAGAAAGGAAGTATGACAGAGAGGAAAAGAGAAATTGGCAGCCAGACGCAGAGAGGCTCCCTTAGGGACTGTGCTTTACTTCAGTCCAACAGGATTTAGCCCTGCGTCCATCAGTCTGCCTCCATCCATGAAACAACCCTTTACATTTTGCCCCCATTTATCTGGCTAAAACCTTTTCACATCATGTACCTCTCCAACACTACATGTGCATCACTTCAAGCAGCAACAACAAGACTCACTCACTGCCTCCTGAAGATGGCCCAGTGCAGAACTGAGCCTCTTCATCTTCAAAAAAATCCCTTTAATAACATTCCTTACAATCAGGTCAAACAAACACTTGCCATGTTTCCTACATGCTATATATGCAAACTTCAGTGTATTTTGGATTGTACAGTAAAGCCAGTAATAATAAAGAAGGAAGCTGTCGAAAAAGCATATATTTTAGATGTATCATACAATGTCTTTTTTAAGCAAATATTTTATTATCATAGGACGATGTAAACTTTTATCTACTGTATATATATCTATCCTTATCAGTTACAATGTCAAAATGATCTGTTTCTGTATTCATATAGAAATAAATGTGGGTGAAACTGGAAGTGCATCAAAATTTAACTCTAATCCGTTTAGCAAATATGCCTTGTATAATTCATAATATTATTATACTGTACTATTATAATATTTATTCGTATGTTAAATAAGCTATTATTGTTACATTTTCAGTTATTTTAATTTTAGATTAAGTTTTAGTAATTTTGTTATGTGTTTTTTTTTATATTTAGACTTAGATTGTTTTTGGTTTCATAACATTTTCATTGTTTATTAAAACTTACATATTTTTCATCAATTTTACATTTTCAATCAATGAAAACACTTTTTATTAGATTTAGTCAACAAATACCAACACTGCTCAGTATATTTAAAATATTACCATAAGCATTTTTAAATATAAATATGATACAGTATGATATTTTTAATCTTTGATTTTCTCAGAAGTTCACAGTAAAAGGAAACAGCAACACGGCCAGCTGATTTAAATTTCACACAGTTCTCATTTTCATTCACAAGATACAACTTTAATCATATGCTTCACAGACTAACCATTATGTTGTTTGATATGTTCATTAAAAATTTGTTTTACCCTTGTACTTCTGTATAATTTGGTACAATTAGTTATTCATTCTGTGGTTATTAATCATGCCTTTCTGAATACGGTAGTCTGCTTCAGGCACATTCCTAGTTCCTCGTATATTGTTTACTGTATCACCACTCACCCCACACTTGCTGAGCGCAATGTACCACCATCTCTCTCTGACAGAACGAAAACTTCGACCTCCTACACAACTCAGCATCTCTTCATTACCTTCGCCTTCCACCTGACAGAGGCAGACACAAAGACATAAGATTGTAAAGAGAAGCAACTCTTCATTGTGCAGTTGTTCATCGCTAATTCAACAGAGAATAGTTATAATTTATTGTTGATGTGTGTAATTTCGTTCCATCTTCTATCCCAGTTTAATATGCAGAGACAGGAGTGAGCCATTAATCATAATATGTAAATAGAGTGGCATGTTTAATTATGTTTGTTTGATTTAGCTCAACCAATGGCAGACAGGGGATGTGTTAGGGAAACCAGTTTGAAAACAATTATTTTTTGGCAGTGCCAGTGGTGCAGAACATCAGTTTAATACTGTAACCCATACTACTTCAAGCCTAAAGGACACACACACACCCAATCACACAAGACTATATATTAGTAGCTTTTTTCTTACCATACAGCCAGACCAGGTGTAGCGGGTGGTCAGGTTGATGACTTGGTTATTTTCAGGCCTCAATACTGACTCTTTCTGGTAGCAGTCCTGTAGAGCACATAAACCCTCCATTAACAAACATGCTCTCCATGGGATTTCAAACACCCTGTAACAATAACAAGAGCTGAAGTACTAAGTAGCAGATTAGTACTAGAGGAGTGTGATGAAGAGCAGGGGCTTCCTACAAGCACCTTTTCATAGAGTCCCGCAATGCAGATCCTGCCACGGGGAGGGAGAAAATGTGCTGGATTTAAATACGCACATACACTGACACTCGTGTCTTTTTGGAGACTGGATTTGGACTTTTAATCCACAGAGCACTGCTGACATTTTTCCTTTAATCCTCATACTTTCTACTGATGCGGAAAGCACGCATTCATGCTCGCGCTCTCTGTTTGTTCACACACACACACGCAGTCTGTCAGAACACTCAATATTTTCACACACAAACACAAAGTCTGACAGTGTGTGTCTCACCTTGTCCGGCCTCTTGTACACAGCTGGCCACTGAGAGCTTTCATCAAAGTAGAGCAAGATGTTCTGACAGCATCGGGACTTTCAGTGAAAAACAGTCATAGAGGGAGGAAGAGAAAGACAGGATAGATCAATAGATATATAGATAGAGAAAGGGGGAGAGATTAATAGAAACTTAAAAACTAAATCTAGAAACTTAAAAGATATATTGGATCTATATAGAAAATGACTGACAGAGAAAGACAAACGAAAGGCAGTCTGACAACATAATTTAATGGTCAAACTTTGTAGAACTTTTTTTTTTTTTTGTTACCCATAAATTTGGTATTTGTAATGAAAACAATTAAACCAAGTTAAGATTTTAGGCAAATATTATATTTATGTTGTGAAGGGATAATTATGATATTTATTTATTTATGATATTTATGTTGTGAGAGATGCAAAATATTATAATTCTAGTCGAATCATTTTCAATGATTATGTTCACGTAATCATGTAATAGATAATAATTGTTATATGCAATAATCATGAAATAGGCAATAATTG